CAGGCTGAACTGCAGTGTGGCCTTCAGTGACTCCCTTCATGCAACTCTCAGGGTTGTAGTTTCTACTTTCTGAAATGAAATAGCAATGTTTCTTGTGTTCACACAACAGGACATGAAGATAAATGCATATTAGCATTGAGAAGGCATTTAGAGAAGAGAGGAGGCTCATGTAATTATGTAGGTAGACTGCATCAGGCAAATGTAATGAACTGACCGGAAGGACGGAGTCTGGCAATCATAGCCCACAGTTATTCCACCTCAATGGGACACAAAGTAGGAGGATACTACCCTCCGCCTTCAATCTCTCTGAAGAGGTAACTTATTTTTAGCATTTCCCTGCAGGCTCACACTGAAGGAAAATAGGGTCTTCAGGCTCTCCACTCCTTACTGACCACTGCGCAAGTTAGCAGGAGGGAAGGGGAGAAGCAGCATTACAGTTCCATGTGCTAGCCACCATATGACAGGGCACGTGAAAAGAGGTGACAGAGGTTTACCAGTCAGCATCCCTAATCCCTGGGAATATAGACCTCTATCAGCCTATGTACTCAGTTTGGACTACTGTAGCCCCGTGTTCCTCCTCACACAAGATGGTCCTTGGAAAACTGTTGCCTCCCTTACTTTGCCTATGACTACATTGTTATCTTTCCTGAAAATTAAGAGTCACAATGTTTGCTCACACTTGGAGATGCACCAAGTCTGTACTTAACAATGCACGTTATGTAAGACAGGGATATATTCCAGTTCACACTGAAGCTGGGAAACTGGGTACAGAGACCGTACTCAGAATCTCTGGGAGTCTTGCTCCTTCCTGGGAAAAGCAACTCGAGAGGACCACTAACAATTCCCTTTATGTTTGCAGGACGAAATGTAGAACCCAAAGGGAAAAAAAGACACCGACTGCCAGCTTTGTGAACGAACCTGTGTTTCTGAGACTGTCTTGGAAAATTTGACATGCAGTATGTTCCTGTTGGTGATGTTAAACGTGAGAGGGACTTCAACTGCCACGTGGTAGGATGAGTTATAATGACATTTTATCTATCGCACAACCCTCCCCTACCAAAATATGCCAGGGCAGTACTTTGTAGTTCACAGACAGTCCTGTCTCACAGATCTTGAGCTGGTGCAAAGCCTGTTGAAATCAGAAGACTTCATTAGATTTTGAGGTCAGCTGCTTATACCTTACTGGCGTGGCATTAGTGAAGGACAGAAACAACAGGGACTGTACAGAGCATGGAGAGACATAGGAGGGGGAAAGAGAAAGCATATGGTCAAGGAACTGTTAAAATTAAACGATTCACATAAAAAGCCATCTGAAAATAGAAAACAGCATCTACGTCCTGAACAGTGATCATACAGAGAAGAAATGCAAGGTCAGCATTCAGTTCACTTATGTGTAGCTTTAGAAGTAAGCTGCTGATGATACATTCCCCTTTTACTCTGCCAGTGTAACGAAGAGTGAAGTACTTCCCTAGCAGCTGAGTCCTTCCACCTTCTTCCAGGCTGCGAGTCCCTCTTTCTTGCCCACAATCACAGTCAGCTGTCACAATACACAGAGCACGAACAGATGTGAGGAACTACACGCACTCATCAAGGCAGATGGCCTTTTCTTGAGATACGTCCTCAGCTGGTTCAGCTGAGCTCAGGCTCTCTAACTTCACTGCAACTACAATGACTTATATCAAAGATTGATAGCAAGCAAGTTCATGTGACTGTCAGAAAAACCTGTCCACGCTGCCTCGGACATTAAGAGAAATCCTGCTGTGCTTTTTGCAGTCCCTTTACTTTGACTCTCTTTGTACAGAGAGCAGCACAGCAGGAAGCCAAGATCTCCTCCGTCTCATGCAGTATACTTTATATTCCAGTATTGCAGGTTATATTCCAACTTTATACATACATTGGTTTAAATGGAAAAGGCACACATATATAGGAAAGAGAAATTAGGTAACACGGTACTTCAGTGCTGCTGTGAACATTCATGAACTGCATCATATTTTGGCTAGGTTGCTCCTGATCAAAAATGATAAATGCTGAGGAGACAAATGATTCATGTGTTAAGTTCTAAGCAAAGTATCTCTTCTCCACAGCTATATTATTTCCATGAATATTCTTTGAAACCGTTGTAAGAAACTTAATTCTTTTTTTGATTCTACATAAATTTTCAAGATAGCTCTCAGAAAACAACAGAGTCACTGAGTCATAGAAACGCTTGCCATAGAAGCAGCGCACCTTTCTGCATAGTCAACTAGAAGGAGTCTTCAGGTACGGACACATTTTTCCCAGAGGAGGAATCCATGGTCAAAGAAGAACCAGCACATCAAAGGAGAATGCTGGGCTGGCGAGAAGAAAACATAGATGGAAAAGACACTATTAAAAAAGAATTGCAGGAATCTAGGAAAGAAGATGTTTCACTGCCAGAACAATTATCAGTTAAGCCCCTTGTAGTTCCTCATGAAGAAACATTTGTAGAAATGGGGGAGTCACTACTGGATTGCATTATTAAAGAATCTCCCATAAAAGATGTGTCATATTTGCCAGATATGCCACAACAACCCCATGCAGTGCTACAGGCTTGGGGAAGAGTGGCTGGAAAGCTGCCTGGCGGAAAAGGACCTGGGGATGCTGGTCGACAGCCGGCTGAACATGAGCCGGCAG